AATAAATAACAACAGTTATAACAAATGTAACAACAGTTATAATAAATGTAACAACAGTTATATTAAATGTCAGAGAGCAGAGTGTTTTTGTGCTGCTCACCTTTTTCAGCATGTAGGAGCAAAACTAATAAAATCCAGGCTCCAATGAGACGTTAGTGGATCCACCAGTTTGGATGAAACTGTCATGCAGATGCTGCATGAGCAATGCAGCTGAGCCTGGCATCAGGGTTGTCAGATAAAATTTAAAATGTCTTATTTACCCTCTCCTTTTCTGTGCACATGTTCAACAAACACAACACACAGCTCATCTTAGAATATCTTCAGCACATATGACAGTTCAGGTCAAAATACTATCATTTTAAAGCCACAGTACTATAGTTCATAATTTCTTATCTGGCAACCTGACTGACATGGAAACTATTGCATTTTCTTGCAAACCTGCTTTTTGTTTATTACCACAATAAACATTGAAAAAAACATTAATGTTTCCAGAGGTTGTTCTGTGTAAACAGGGCTTTATAGTAGGTAGATCACTTTGACTTTGTCATTTTAACAATAGCTCACATGCTGAAAAGTGTGGAGACTCCTGAACTAGCTGGTTTGAAAAATGTACATCACTGCTGTGTGTATTTACTAAGCAGGTCCTAATTTCCCACAATGCAATGCAGCAGGAACATATCAATAAACAATAAGTACTCTTCGTTAGTTTCGTTAGTTTCGCTGTTGACTAGTGACTCATTGTTTTTTTATTTTTTGTTTGTTTCTGTAATGTGTGTTCAGTATGTATGTGAGCGCCACTTTCAGAAGGTGTGGAACCGCAGCCTCTTCACCGGCCTGCGATCCGTCACCCACTTTGGTCGACCGCCCTTCCTGTCATTTTTCAGCTCGCTGCAGGAGGTTCACCCTGAGGTCAGTCAACTTGTCTACAAAATGTCGATATTCTGTATATCGAGAAGCAGGAACATGACAGAGAAGTTGAAATCAGAACAACACGTGCACCCCCTGTAGGCTCACTGCAGTGCACGCTTTAGATCCACGTGACTGAGTGGAGCATTTTACTGATTAAAGAAATTTTAAAAATAAGTCAGTTTTATTTGCATGTTGTAGATTCGTAGTTTCTTTACCTTGCTGTTCAGATTTTATTTTATTTTGATGTTTTGTGGTGGGCGACACGGTGGCGCAGTTGCTAGAGCAGCGAGTAGGTCGCTGTATCAAATCCCAGCTGGGGGTCTTTCTGGGTGGAGTTTGCATGTTCTGTCTGTGCATGATTGGGTTTTTTCCAGATATTCCAGTTTCCTCCCACAGACCAAAAACATGCATGTTAGACTGATTGGTAACTCTAAATTGTCTCTAGGTGTGAGTGAGAGAGTGAATGGTTGTTTGTCTTGTTTGTCTCTATGTGTCCCTGTGATGGACTGGAGACCTGTCCAGGGTGTCCCCCACCTCTGACTGCTGGACATGGACACCAGTGACCCCCGTGACCCAGAAAGGAAGAAGCAGTAAAGACAACGAATGGATGTCTAGTTGTAACTAGGCCTGCCACGATAACAATTTTGCTGGGCGATTAATTGTCTCAGAAATGATTGCGATAAACGATAATATTGTTTGAAATTTGACAATAACTTGTAATTATTGAGGGCAGCATGGTGGCGCAACTGGTAGAGCCACTGGTAGAGCCGTTGCCACTCAGCGAGAAGGTCCCCGGTTCAAATCCCGATTCGGGGGCCTTTTTGGGTGGAGTTTGCATGTTCTCTTCGTGCATGCGTGAGTTTTCTCCGGGTACTCCGGTTTCCTCCCACAGACCAAAAATATGCATGTTAGACTGACTGGTAACTCTAAATTGTCCCTAGGTGAGAGTGAGTGAATGGCTGTTTGTTTCTATGTGTCTCTGTGATGGACTTGTGACCTGTCCAGGGTGTCCCCCACCCCTCGCACAGTGACTGCTGGACATGGGCACCAGCGACCCAAAATGGAAGAAGCGGGTAAAGATTATGGATGGATGGATGTTGGTTAATTTGTTTTGAGTGTAGTACCTTTTTCTGACCATTGAATGGCAGTATAAGACTGTTTGAACCAAAGGATGGATAGTGAGGGAGCAAGCAGCGTGTCTCTTTAAGAAAATGGGAGGGAGGCCCCTTGACGTGACATGGGCTGTCTCTCTTTGGTTCTCAAAATGGCGGACGCTCGGTGTGGTTTGAGCTCTTTAGCATAGCATTTGTTACACAAAGCTTTTAATAAAAAAATCAGTAAACAAATTCTCCGCTTCTTTTTGCAAAGAAAAACAAATTTTTACACGAAGGCACGGGTTCCATCTGTGAATTTTGGAGCTTCAACAAGACGGAGTTTTTTTCCAAGGTCGACCTGTTAGCTTAGCTTCTCAGCTTAGCTGCTTTTAACGATCCAAAAACGTGATTTTGGACAATTAAAACAGATTTTAAAGAGAAAGAGAGGGGTCAGTGAAGAGCCCCGGAGTTGAGCCTTTTGTCATCCAGTGTCTTCAGTAGAAAGAGAGAGACACGAAGAAACGATAAAGCCGATAAATGAAAATGAGGTTGATAATTTTTACTTATCGTGCGATTAATTGATTTATTGTTTATCGTGACAGTCCTATTGATAACTAGTTATTTGATGCCTAAGAAGACGCCATTATCGTGTGTGGAAGAATACAGGAGACTTTCAGTCCCACATAAACCAGATCCTGCCAGCTTCCATTTTAAACCTGATTAACAGACAACGTATTTTTACGTTAATGATGCTAGCCTGTTTGCCTAGTTTACCAGCCTGGCCAGCAGAAATGTGTTCATACTGTATGTGTGGGCGTTTCTTCGTCAGGTCTGTAAAATGGGTGTATTCAGCTGTGGACCACCTGGACTGACCAAGAACGTGGAGAAAGCTTGTCAGCAGATGAACAAGAGGGACCAGGCCCACTTCATCCACCACTACGAAAACTTCTAACCAGTTCTGAGCTGCCTGGTACAATAAGAGCAAAAATACTATTTGAATATTTAGTATATTTAGATACAAAATCATATGTTGAATTTAGTTTGGGTTTAATTTAAGTTGATGGTTCCTTTGATCTACTTGATAAAACACACTATGTTGTCTTTCTTTCACTATAAACCTTCTGTTACATTAATTACAATAGAAAATGAAAAATTAATCTTGTAAAAAGTTACAAAAGTATTTTCAAAACTTAAGATATGCAGATTTTTTGCATTTTATTGTTCATAGAACGAATATTTATTTGACTTAAAAGTAAGAAGTGTGCTGCCACTGTTTGTAAGTGAACAAATCAGCATGTACTTTATGATGAATACTATACAAATGTTTTATTGTATGACATATCTGGAATATGATAACATTTTATTTTGATGTCTTAGGCATATATATATATATATAGCTGATGTAAAATTTTAAATCTTACGTGTTTTTTGAGAATGTTTAATTCTGCAAGGAGCCTCCCTGTGGTTCCTTCTTGTGCTGCAAACTTTGGGATTAAATAATTATTCAAATTCACAGATTTGATTTGTTGGTTGATTAATTATATTTTCACCAAGAATTTACCTTTTTTTAACTTCTAATAAAGGTTTAAGTAGACGTTTAAACTAACGAGTTTGTTCAATAAATATGTCTTCATTTGCAAATTGTGTTAAATGAGTCAACACCAGAAAGGTCTAGTTTTGAGCAGGATGTAAACAAAACATGCATTTTAAACCGAAGGAGTTTTGTTTTTATATATTTAATTATTATGAGCCAATGGCACCCTCTTCTGGTAAAAAGCTGGGAATCCTCATCTCCACACAGACAGCAGGGAGATAAAAACTCAAGGTCAAATCAGGTTTTTGCTGCATTTGCTCTTTTTTTAATGGATTTTCACTACAATACATCAACGCTCTCTTTAAACACCCTTGCTCCATCTTATTATTTTTAAATGCTTCTCTCGGTGCAGGCGTGACATCTAAGTGTGACGGGTCAGTGCACGTGACGAACACATTTTAATCTTGGTTTAATCAGGTGTCACATTCACAGCAATAACCGGCAAGGTGATGGTTGTTGGATCAATGGGCTGATGAAGATCTGCAGCTTTTCATGCTTTAACTCAGTGTTTTTCAAAGTGGGGGTCAAGGCCCTCTGGGGGGCCCCAGAAAGCTGGAGAGAAGAGTACAAAAAGCAAAAATAAAAAAATAGTAATAATTATAATAAAAATTGCACACTGGGGTAATCTGTATCTGTCATTTCCTGATAAGCACGCTTGAGAAAGAGGTTAGATTTCTTTTGTTTTGTTCTTCTGGTCAGCAGTTTGTTGAAAAGTTGTTTTTTTTTTCAGTGAGAATATAATGAAGTGGGGGTGGGAAAACAATTTACTGGAACTCCTCCAACTGATGAAGCCATCTGGATAGAGAGCGAAACGTCTCAAAAAAAAAAAAGAAGAAAGAAACTGTCCAGATGACCCGACTGAGAATTATTGGATTTGGTACGTGGATGACTGAGCATGAACTTTGTTGCCTTGAACCACTTTGGCTGTGGCTGCCTGCCTGGGAGGAGTCGACGAGGGGACAGGACGGCCCCCAGAAACCATCTTAGCTCCAGCAAACTGGTTGGCCCACTTAAGGAGTTTACTGCTTGGTGGGGAAACTGTTTACTGGAACTCCTCTGACTGAAGAAGCCCTCCGGATAGAGAGCGAAACGTCTCTAAAAAAAAAGAAACTGTCCAGATGACCTGACTGAGAATTATTGAAATATAATAAAGTGTTTAAAACATGTTAGTTAATAACATTTTATGCTCAGCAGATGTAATAATTAACAGGATATAGTGAATAAAAGTTAAAACATTCTAAAAGTTGATGCTTCTTTACATATTTTGTAGCATTGTTTGTGGGTTTATGAGGGGGGGGCTTGGTCAGAAGCTAATGCTGTTTGGGGGGGCCATGACATGGGAAAGTTTGGGAACCTCTGCTTAACTACACACTCATTCACTTTACACCAATTTCTTCTTTATTTTTCCCTCAGTGAGTACTAAAGCTTTGGACCTGTTCCCTGTTGGGTTTTTGGCTGGTCAGCAAAAATATCCGGGTACATTTTGTCGTGAGTGCTCCTGAGTTATCCTCCAAGAAGTTTCTTAGATTCAAAGTTTCTTCAAGGAATGTTCTTCCAGCAACACCGGCGGGATAACGCAGGACATGTTTGGGATGTCTGAGGAGCGGTGAGCAGAGTCCAGCGCTTCACTTAATCTTCTTAGAGTCGTTAAGTACCCATAGAAATCAGCTACTGTCCAGATTGTCTCCTCCTGCCCCAGATAATCGACGCAGACGACAACAAAGAGGCTCAAAGACAACATGTGGCATGGTCTCTTCTCTGGCATGAAACATGCGCCTCCTCTCCTTTGGGTCCTGCGTTGACAGAGCCGTGGAGGACGTTTTGGTGGAGCTCTTTGAGTTGAAGATGTTCAGCAGCGGCACCAAGAAGTGGTTTGTGAGGAAGCAGAAGAGGCAGCAGCCGCAGAAAGCTGTCAGGAGACCGCACGCCAGGAGGAAGAAGAGATGGACTGCTAAGATCCTGAAGGAGCACAGAGAGCAGATCTTCAGTGAGCTGGACATCAACGCTGTGCTTCCATACCTGGTGTACGAAAAGGTCTTCTCGCTGGTGGAGTACAAGGAAATAGTGGGACAGGGATCCAGCAGGAGACGGACCGAGGTGTTCCTGGACCACCTGACCTCCAAGGGGCCCGCTGCCTTCAGCTCGTTCTGCTCTGTTTTGGAGGAGGTGTGTCCCCACCTGCTGACCTGCTTCCTGTTGGATGGAGAAGGTACGCCTGCCAATTATCCTCTAATTCAATTAATCACAAACACAGAGCGAGCTGCAGGAGACACTTCAGCGTTTTGAAGAGTTATTGATCCGTTGAAGCTTTTATATTTATCTTGTTCCCTTGTAAAGGGTGGTGTTTAGCTCACTGTGGAGAAGATAAAATGGACAGTGAGACAATGAAAACTCGAAGGGAGAGAATTATCAGTAAGCTCGAGTCGCAGACTAAGAGTCTGCAAAAATAGCCTCTTAAATCTGGCTGGCTGAAGGGATTACTGAGCAGCCAGCGCTGCTAACTAGCCTCTGACAACATATGGCCTCAGCGTGGCTGCAGTTTGCTCTAGATTATAAACTTTACTCACATTTACATAAATCTGGGGAAGAACGTGCATTTAAAGTTTTCTCTGTGTCAGTGAACAAAACAGGAGTAACAGTTTTTTTCCACAGGAGGAGGAAGTGTAAATCAAGAGGTGGTTAAAAATATTCAACTTCACAGATGGTGTCCCAAAACCAGAGAAGAAGGTGGGCCCCCCTGTCCCCCCGAACAGTGCAGGAGAGCAGCCCCTGCGCTCCCCTCACACATGCACCGGCCCTGTGTTGGACTCGAGGTGAGACACACCGAACAGCACGCGGGGTTCATGTCAGAATAAAAGACTTGATCAACTAAACAATGAGGTTATCAAGAACAAACATGCTGGGATGATGAGGAGAATTAATCAAACATGACCAGGTTTGGTTCTTTAATGGGTCTACATGACACAAAGACAAAATAACAGATGCTGAATCAAATGTTTTCTTCCTTTAAAACAGTTCTGGCTGCTTTTAATTGACAAATTCCACAATAGAAAGATGATGTGAATTTAAGACGTGGTATTTCTTTAAGGAGTGCACATCACGATCAGCTTTTCGTTTTGAGAAAAGTTAGAGAATAACACGATGCACAATCTCTTACTGTTTCCGTTAGTGCTTGGATTATGTGTTGTGAATGACTCTCAGCTACTACCACATCAAATCTTGGCTTAATATCTGTAAAACTGGCAGTTGGTGACATCTTTGGGTTCGATAAGGCTGATGAGCTGTGACGACTTTTTGAAATGTATCAGATGTAGAATTACTGTTGGAGAGTTTCATTAAAGTTCGTCCAGTGGTTCATGAGATATTTTGCTAACAAACAGAAAACAAACAGCCTGCCATCTTTTGGCACCGCATAACAAAATACGACCGCACAGTAGTTCAATGTTGAAATATTTTACTGTTTTTAATGCAGACCAAGTGTGCATGGAAGTTTTCAGCCCAGACAGGTTGAGGTTTAGAGGGTGAGGCTGCAGAGACAGTGAGTGGACCGACAGCGTTTACAAGAAGAGACACAATTTGTTTGAATGAAAACCAACAAAAACCTAAAGAATTAAAGAAATGGCATTTCCTGCAAAAATGCAGTGTGAATGCTTATTGCAGAAAAAACTTGCTGAAAACCACTGAAATTAGCTAAAAGCATGCTGAAATGTAGCTGAAATGAAAGAACAAGCCTAAATCAACAGAATAAAGCAGAAAGAACACAGATTTGCTGAATTAGGTTTAAACAAGCAGAAATTAGCACATAAATTAGGAAATCATCTAAAAAAGGCTAAACATTGCTAAAAACATCTAAAAAGTAGCCAAAAAGGCAGAAAGAAGCTTAACCTGCAAAAATGAGGTGGAAGTGGCTGAAATGAGCTAAAAAATGTGGCATTAGCTGAAAAAGCAAAAATGTGCATAAAAAAACAGTTAAATAGTTGAAATAGCAGAAAAAGCTGAAACTACCTGAAAAAAAAAAATACCTGAAAGGAGCATAACAAGCTGAAGTTAGCAGAAATAAGTTAATTAGACTGAAAGTAGCAGAAATTACCACAAACACCTTGAATTTATCTGAAAACGGCTGGAATTAGCTAAAAATAATTCTGAAAAGTAGCTGAAAAGCTAAAACAAGCTTAAATTAGCATAAGAAAGCAGAAAGAATGTGTTTGGCCAATTAGGCTGAAAGAAGCAGAAATGAGCACAAAACTGGAAATTATCTGAAAAAAGTTGAAATTGGCAACAACAACAAAAAAAAACAGCTGAAAAGTGTCTAGAAAAGCAGAAAACAGTTGAAATTAGCAGAAAGAAGTGGGGAGACC